ACGCTGCTCTTGTATGGTTTAAATCGGACCGTTTTCCTTCAGCGCGTGTTCCGCAGCGCACAGCATTGAATGGAATCCGCTTGCGTGAAACGTCAGCTGTGCCTAGAAAGCAGTCGATCACGCAACGTCGTGCGGAAGTAATTTGTTTTTTAGTTGAATATGGCTGGCAAAGAAACTCAATCAAGATTTTCTGGACTGCCCGTAAGATAATATATTGAATTTCAATTCATTGTAGTCAAAATGGTTAGTAATAAGTAACTTAAAGCAGCCTTGCAATTTCCTTGTTTTAAAAAAACTAACTTTGGCTACTTTTTTTTCTCATCATATTATTATTACTAGCTTTTGTTTAATACTCAACGCACTGTAAAACTTTTTAATTCGAAATGATTTGTGCCAAGTTGTTCACATAATGCACACTGCGTCAATCGCCCTGCGTATACCGCAGGCGTTTTGCTCTCGCGTTTGCGCAGCTAGAAAAACGTAGCTAAGAGTTTTAGAGAAACCAGATGGAACAGAATTAGGAAATATTTTAAAAAAATTGAAAAATAACAAAAGCTCAGGGAAAATGTATCAGTGTAGAAATGCTAAAATGGGGGAAGTCAGATTGCAGGAACATATACAGGATGGCGCATCCTATACGCGTCGGTCTCTGTAGGGAAATGACTAAAAATTTGAATTTTTTTTCTTAATAGAGATAGAGATTAACACTTCAAATTAAAAATAATTTGGATTATACAGGGTGACCCAAAAATAGGAATTTATATCAAAGTTATGTTTTTTTAAAGGGAACACCCTATATTTGATGGTGTCTTTTGATTCCCCGGAAAAATAAAGTTTCTGTAATGTTTCTTATACCTATCTCTTTTCGGTTTTGAAACATTTAAAGGATTCTTAATTTGTAAGCTTGAACAACATAACCTAGTATGTCGCGGTTATTTTATGAAGACTAGAGATAAGGAGGCGAATCGGCCTTGGTCAAATTTCAAATTTCCGTCCCTATTTTTATGGAGTTCCAAAAAACTACTGTAGTTGGCGGGTGGCAAAATAACGACGTCTATTTTCTATGCAAATCAATGGGAATTAAAGTGATTTTTGTAAAATTTAGTGGAAAGAATAAAAATAAGCTGAAATAAAGAATCTGACTACAAGTAACAATGAGTAACAAAAAACGATAAAGCAGGATTTGCTTCTTTTCGGGTTGCAAAACGGGATATAAAGCCGATATAAAATTAAATAAATCACAAGGAGATAAAAATCCAAGTATTTTTAAAGCTCCTAGTGTAAGTAAAATAATATATTTATTTCTAAATAATATATATTTATTGTAAAATAGTCACAACCCGTATCTTACGGAGTGTAGTTTTTTTAATTACAAAATTCTATAATTAAAAATAAAGTCATAAATCCTGACTTATAAACAACAATAATTACACATTAAATTTAACTTACTAGAAAAGAAAATTTGTATTTTTTATGTTTTTTGATGTTAGATGAAGAGTTACTACTGTTATTTTTCTTTATTGAACTCCAATTTAGTCATTGCAAATATTTTTTATAAGATCCTAAACGTTTAGAATAATAGCAGCATGTGATTCCTAAGGCTGATAAAGTACTGTCTAGTTATGATTCTGTTTTTTAGAAGATGATATTTTAAAATTTGATCGAGACTATTTTAACTAATGATACTGTTAACAAAATAAAAAGGGAAAGGCCGAGATTAAAGAACGAAGCAATACCATGTATATTCCCGAATCTTCCTTCATACTTGTCCAGTATTAGGAAAAGACGAAAACCACCTAATTTAAAAGATCATGACTACAATATTACAAAAACCTATCCAGTTATTTTATCTTACGTTTCTGGATACATTGCAAGAAAAGCTACCAGATTTACAAAATGTAAAACTTGCATTCGACAATTAAAAAGTATTGAGCTTCAGTCTAAAGATCCATTAATTACGTTAATAAGTAAAGGGCTTTTAATATACCCTTCTCAGTCTCTTCTTTCTTTAATATCATTGCTGGAATCGACTATCTTAGAGGTTTTATCAAGAAACCCAGTTCATCAAGAAACTCGTTTTGAAATCTTGAATAAAATTGAAGAAATGGGCATTTTATTTGTAGGGTGTGATGAACACAAAGAAAATATTACATCTGCAATAATTCGCTTTTACCTAATCAGTAGAATGCATTTTATTTGTAAACAAATTAATAAAATTGATGAAGCTAAAAAAGAAATTATGAAAACGAAAAAACCCTAACTCCTCTACGAAATTATTACACACTCATATCCCCAAAGTGACAACAGACTAAAAATTGAAAAAGCTGAGAGAGAAAGAAAGACCGGATCTTTTCAATTTTTCTTTAATTTCTTTTCACTTTGGGGATATGAGAAAGTAATTTTCATAATTTTGTAAGGGGAATTAGAAATTTTTCATTGTTATTTAAGCGTTTTGCCACTTTTAAGAACAAATGAAATGCCACCATTGTTAGTTGTCCAATACAAAATTACCACAAAACTGTACTTACCAAATTTCACCATTTAATAAACCTTTTCAAATTTGGTCATACCTAATTTTCATTTTATTTAGATAAAATTAAATAATGAATAGTAAATAATGTTTAACATAAAGACTCATTTATAATTAATACCAACATATTTTCTGTACTTTAGTTAGCAATGAAAACAAAGACTTATTTACAATAATTAAAATCAACAGTATTTTCTGTTCTTTAGTTAGCAATAAACAATTTGATTTTTATTATTTTCATAAAATTTTGTAAAATTCCTAAATTATTTTCATTTAAACCGTGTCTTAGTATGCCCTCAGCCCTATTTAGCTTTAATTAAAAAATAATTAGCACTACCCATCAAATTTCAACACTTATCATCAATAATTTGTATTTTACTTAAATAGGAATAAATAGTAAATAATGTATCAATTAAAATATGTAAGACTTGTTTAGAAATATACAACATTTTTACAAAATTATGTATAATTCCCATAAGAAGCCATGTATTTTGAACTACGTAAACAGTACCAGCGCCCATGCGGTTAATTATAAAAGCTCAATTGACGTGTGATTTTTGGGACCGTATTTTGAGCATGCCGATTCGCCTCCTTATCTCTAGTCTTCATAGGTTATTTAAAGCACATCAACGCAATCACCTGCGATATGCGTAGCCAAGATATTAGACTATCAAATAAAATGCAAATTTTTCCATTACATCATACAGGGTGCTCATTTAGTCTAATTGAATTCGACTGACATATGGAGTTGAGTAATATTACTATTTTACATGGCACACCCTGTATTTAATAACAAACTGATAAGACATTTAAATTATCTTTCATTCCTTATAAGATGTCCCTATACCTAAATTCGATGGATCTTTAGTAAATAGCTGTTTTTTATTTTTAACATAGGGATTTTATCATATTATTTTTTAATCATAGTAACCATAGAGCAAATATCACTCAAAATATGGTATTGAACGAAATAAACATCTTTATCACTTTTCAATGTTAAATAGTTTCAATGTAAACCAAAACTATAAATTTTTTAATAAAAAAAAAACATTTAATGACAAAAAAATTTGAATTATTTGAAAACTACATACAAATCAAGAAGAGTAAGAAACAAATTGAAAACAAAACAAAAAATGAATTATAAAAAATGTTCAAAGTGACGCCCATCTTGTTCTAAACACAACTGAACTCGTTATTATGTGGACCACCTCTTCCGATTCATTTATTAACAAAACGCCGGTTTAAGTATCGCCGTACTCGAAGTTGAAAATGTGCGGGGGCTCCATCCAACTGCATCCACATTTTCTGCCTAGTATTTAAAGGTACATTATCAAAGAGCCCAGATAATTTTCTCCACAAAAAATTTGAAATTTTCTGCCATTAAGATGACCGGTAAAAAAATAAGGACCAATAACATGTAAACCTAATATTCCTCCCCACACATTCAAGGACCACCTATGCTGATGATCGAGAGTATGAAAGACGTAAGGATTTTCATCACTATAATAATGAAAGTTATGGCGATTAACGAGTCCATTATTATGAAACGTGCACTCGTCCAAAAACAGAACATTATCAAAAAAATCCGCATCTGATACTACTTTATCCATAACCCATAAACAAAAATCGATTCTTTGTTGAAAGTCCCTTCGATAGTTTTTGGTGCAGCTGTATCTTATAAGGATGAAATTTATGTTTTTTTATTATTCGTCCAATACTTCTCCTACTTATTTCAGTTTCTCTAATAGCCCGATGACTTGTGTGTGGGTTTTCTATTAGTGAGCCAATAATCCAAAATTCATTATCATGATCTCCTACAATAGGTTGAGGCTGAATAATTTTTTTTATAATCTACATTTTCGCTAACTTTAAACTGTTGTAGTAATCTTTCAAAAGCACGTCTGTAAGGTTTCTCTCGACCTGGACAATTATAAATTATATAGAAAACAAACTAGGGATATGGGAAGTAAAAAAAAATAGATGGGATTTAACATAGAAGAGAAAATAAGGAAATATATGATCTATACAAAGATGCAGATATAGTAAAAGTCATCGAGGCCCAAAGAATATGGTGGATAGGAAGGACAATACTTCGAATGCAAGATGATAAAATTGCAGAGGTAATTCTAAACCACCAACCCCAAATCAACCAAAAGAGGTAGACCGAGAGTAAGATTTCGCCAAGAGGAGGAAGATCTGCAGATTTTATGGATAAATGGATTAAAAAAAAATGTAAATTTAGCCTTGGACCTATATGCCCATGTAATATGTCAATAACATTCTCCTACAGCGCATATTTCAAGTTATCTCAAGTTAATAATAAAAAAAGTTATGCGCCTTAAATGTTTAAATTCATACGATTTAAAAAAGAAGGATTGTAAAACCAAACATGTGATTTTTACCATTGCCTACTTGAGAAACATTTCATTTTATTCTGTTTTTCAGTGTTTAAGAGATTTTTAATACATACGTTGGGCGTCTAATTTTCTACAGCTGTCGATTACTACAGTATCATACATTCCAGGTCTAGGTGGTCTTCTATTTCTAACTGGTCTGCCGGTGTTACCTGAAATTAGTAAGTATTTTGTATAATTACTAAACTTAACATTTGATTATAATTATTAATTTCACTTTGTTTTACCTAGTTCAATGGTCCTATCAGCCGCACATTAGAAAACTTTACAATGTTTCAGAACAAAAAGTATTAAATCAAGATAACTACTTATACATATGATGATATGCTGATACGAATCCATTTCATGGAGAAGAAGCCAGCTGAAGTTGCAACAATGCAAAACCCAATTATGCCTTGTTTACGTACGTCGCTTAGTAATGACATGGTCATGCCACTTGCGTACAACATTTATGCAGATAGCCATCTATTTATTTGTTAGCGTTTCATATTTGAGGTTGCGTTTTTGGAATCGTTTATTTGTTAAATATTTTTGACTTTCGACTATTTGTTGGTTTAAAAACAATAATTATCCATAGTCAAGGTCGGCAGATAATAAAAAAATGTTGTCACTTTAATGTAAGCAGAAGCTGAAGATGGAATTCAGATTCCTTTACAAAATCATCAGTAAGTAGAATAAAAAAAGTATATGTATTATAATAATAATAATAATAATATAATGTAATTTATTACTCCTACCCAGATTAGTCAGAATTTACATGTATTCTTCGGCGAATTTATATACTTAGTCATAGACTATATATTATGTCTTTGGAGAAAAAAGTTCGGTTATTTCATTGTTATTGTAAATTATAAATCGTACCCTGCAAATACCGTCCAATTACATATTTTGTCATAAACAGACAACGATATTTGTGAAAAAGTTATTACTAAATTTTGTCAGTAGTTTGTATCATTGAGAGTGTTATAAAGTCTAGAAAAGTAGTATTCTAATTATTTAATAGTATATTATTAAACGAGCAATTTATGGTAGCCATTATTCACGCAGGGTAACGTTTGCGTCCCGAGCCGCAGGCGAGGGGCACAGGTCACCCGAGTGAATAATGGCCATAAATTGCGAGTCTAATACTCTTTGTCCACGACCATTATGGTTTCTTTATTAAATAAAAGTTAAGTGTAGAATGGAAAGTTTTTATTAAACAGGTAACTAACTGTTGTTTTTTCAACTTTTCTATTTTTTGATTTTTCGATTTTTCGATTTTTCGTTTTCGATTTTTCGTTTTCGATTTTTCGTTTTCGATTTTTCGATTTTTTAATTTTTTGATTTTTCGATTTTTCGATTTTTAGACTTTTCAATTTTCCGATTTTTTTAATTTTTCGAATTTCTGACTTCGTTTTTTTGATTTTTCGACTTTTCAATTTTCCAATTTCTGATTTTTCGATCTAGCAAATATCGTTATGAAAAGTATCGCCCATCTTTAGTTATTTACCGGAAATTGCCAGAATTACAAAAGCGTGAATTATCATAATTCACTCTAGTGATATATGGGTACCATATGCCTTTAGTTAGGAGGTAGAATATTGATTTATTATTAAGTGGTCGTGGACAAAAATATTTGCAAGACAAGCTTATATTATAGTGTTACATTTCTTAAATTTGTAAAATATATATCCTATCGGGATTTTTTAATATACGCAACCTCTACTTTTCGTGAGAAAAATTTTTTAATAATTTTTTATAAAATACAGATATTTATTACTACCTATGCATTATTTTACTGAAATGTTATCTCATTTGTTTTTAGCCATAATTTAATTTCAATCGGGACGTTAGAACTGATAGTGTGAGGAACTCATATTAGGAAAATTGTTGGTTAGTTGGAATACGCAGTAAGGGAGCGTTTAGTAACTAACTTGTTTAGGGACTAGGAGTATTTCCACAACCATACAATGTAAATATTGCTGATTTTTAATATTTATATTTTTAAATTGCAGAGAGCGAACTCTAAAATCAACTGAAGGAGCAGAAGTACTTGCACCAGAATTAAAAAGGACGCCTATTAAAAGAGGAGCATCTACTTCCTGTAGATCTCCTCGAAAAGGGAGACGAAGAAAAAATCAGTACTGGAAGCACAAAACTTGGAGAACTGGAAAGCGTATAGAAGATCGTTTATAATTTTTAGATCCTGGAGAAAAAGGCTCCTAATTTAAAATGTAAGTTTGATAGAAATAAAATAGATATTTTTGTATTAAGTGTCTGAAATCAGGTTTTTTATGTTCTATCATAGACAGATATTAAAATTATTCATAAGAAACTTAGTTCACTTTTTAACCGAAAAACATTTTTAAGACTCCAATGATTTTTAATAATTTTTATAGAAGTATATTATTTTATTAAGGAGTATATATTTTTCTAAGCATTCTTCACAAAGTGCGACCTGTTCTACCTGAATTTACTGGAAGTAAAACTTCTTTATGGCGGCTGCTAAAAAGTATGGGGTTTAGGTAAGTAGTTTTCGAAGTTGAAGATACAAGTGTACGCATAGATATTTAATGAAAAATAATGACTTTATTGTAGATGGTACGTGGCAGCGCACACAAGATAACAGAAAGATGATTATGGAAACCTGTAATATTCTTCTTAAAAGAATTACTTTTTTAGAAAATTTTATTAATATAGAACTGAAGGCTGGAATATTATATTATATTGATAAAAGATATATCCACAACTCACATGTGCAATCTAACGGATGGTATATCAGGAAAAGGGTTGAAGAAACCAATCTCAAAAGGAAGGAGACATGCAGGTGGAGAAAAAAGATTTATTCCTAATGCCTTATTAATATTTCGTTCAGGTCCAGTGTTATATAGTAAGTTTTGATTGTCCCAAATATTTATAAACATTGTATATATCAGGTATAACATGTTTAACTTGGTTTAGGGTAAAACCCTGTTTAATAGTAATGACTAGTAGTAAAAATGGTTTAATTTGAATGTGTGAAAAAACGGACAATAACTTCACTAATTAGCGTTCATGAAAATGTTTCTTGGGTTACAACGAAAAACATATATAACCTGATTTTTAGATAAATTTATATTATACTATTGTTAAATGTTTTCATTGGTTTTAAAACAATATATAATAAAAGATAATTAAATTCAATCTTTTTTTTTTTTTTTTTTTTAGGTTTAAAAAGTGGAGATTATCATGATGATATGATTTATTAAAACTTTATGAAGTGGGTACAGGAACATCCCAATATGCCTAAGAAATCAGTTCTGGCTGTAGATAATGATTCTTACCTCAACGTGAAAACAGAAAAAAGTATTACTTCAGCATCTAGGAAAGCAGAAATGTTAGAATGGTTTAGGTCCCAGAAAGCTGACCATGATGCCAATAAGACAAAACCAGCTTTGTATGAATAATTATTAAAAACATTTCAGTTAGTTATTTCTGTTTTCTATAAATTGGACTGTTTACTGAAAGAACATGGGTATAAAGGCTGGTAACCGTGAACGGTTAACCGGTTCCATAGGACCAAAAAACCGTTAAAGAACGTAACTGGTTTAACAGTAACCGGTTTAAAACCGTATTTATGTGTACCAGCCACATCAACTTCCAGTGAACGGGTGTTTTCCAGTGCCGGAAACATAGTTTCGGCGAAAATAAATTGCTTACTGCCGGAAAACGTTGATAAGTTGATTTTTTTGCATCAAAACTCAATAATAAAAAATAGGCAGTTTTGTTATTAGGTATTTGTTATTATTTTATGTCCCAATTAATTATAATTTATTTTTGAATGTTTTTTTTTTACTTGAATATAGTTTGTTTTTGTTTTTTAGTTTTACCTACTTACCCACCCAGTGAGTGACTGTGTCTTTTTTTAAATTTTAAATAAAGTTTAGCAAAAGTAAAATTGGTAGTAAAAAATCAAGCATGCACTGCTGATTTCATCAATTTGTTTAACTACAAATAAGATTAAACAAGTTTTAATTTTTGAAGGGTAAAAAGTATAAAATTTTGTAAAATATTTCACACATGTGCAACTAGCAGTCAATTGAATAAGAAATACAACAACCGTTTATTATCTCTAAGTGATTTTCTATTTTGCGCTTATCATTTGATTAACTACTATTGTACGCTGCAGATTTATGTATTTTCCCTGCTTTTCAAAATTTAAAACTTTTAATGCTAAAATTACATAATATGCAATATTATGACATTTGAGTTCTAACTTTTCAATGGTTTTTACCAATATTTTTAGGGCATTCCTAAATTAAAAGTTCCTATTTTGTGTTTTTTTACGTTTTTTATTATCTATACAATATATTTATGACTTGAAGTAATCGGCTATTGATTATATCTCAAGCAATATCTCAAGCTAGTCTATTTTTATCCAAAAAACGTTTATAACCTACCATTTTAAAGGAAATTCAATCAACTTTTTTTATGAAGCAACGTCTACACCTATCTCTACTACTCAGAAAGCAAAAAAAGTATAAAAAAATGAATTTTTTGCTTTTTAAATTCTTTTATTTTTACCTAAAAAAAAATTAAATAATTCGATGTGAAATCTCATTCTTTACAAAAAACTGGTATTAACTATATCTGAATTTTGCTTCGTTTTCGAATTATAATTAAAAAAACTCATCTCCAATTTCCACGCGCTAATTCAATAGCATTCCGCGGTTTTTTATTTCTTTCTTTATGACATAGTCAATAGAGACTATAAGGGATTTGTAAGTTTTGAAATTGCATTTTTTTTATTTCAACATTTCTTGCATTAAAATGGGTTAAATTGATTAACACCATTTGTATATTTATATTTGTTTGAGTATTAAATTTGAAATGGTTAGGCTATTGTTTTGACGTTAAACATCAAATTTATAATGCGGCGCTGGTTATGACGACATTGACGACACGTTCTTACATACAACTGCAACTTCAGGTGGCTTCTTCTCTTGTGAAACAGATTCTACAGAATGATACATTTTGTAAATATTTGGGTAGATATTTGATAAAAAAACCAGATGGATATCACAAACTGTTTAACAAAATGTATTTCAATCGGAAATATTCACAAGACATTTAATAAAATTGGACAAATTATGAAAATGATATGATCGAGAGTAAATTAAATGGTATTTCAGTTGGTATTGAAGTCTTACCTATATTAACAGATTCTTCTTGAAGAGGTATCGTCGATTTTCCTTCTTCTAAAAGCAATGCAGATGTAGAATTAAGAAAATGAAATTTATTAGAAAATTTAACTCACCACCGGTTTTTTTTTGTCTCCCTACTTTTCTTGATGGTTGAACTATTTCATTATCCTGTGGTTTTGTTTCTTGTAAAGTATCACTCTTTTTTAAATTCACATGTATTGAGTCTGTAACAACTTTCTGTTTTTTGACAAATTGTGTACTTATTTCAATTTCATAATTCAAATCACAATTTTCTTCAACAGATTCTTCTTGAACAGGCATCGTTGATTTTCCTTTTTCTAAATTCCTTTTTCTAAACTCACCGGTTTTTGTTCTCCTTCTTTTTCTTGATGATTGGCCTACTTCATTATCATGCAGTTTTATTTCTTGTAAATTTGCAGTCTCTTTTAAATTCAAACTTAATGAGTCTGTAACATTTTTCTGGGTTTCAACAAATTGTGTACTTATTTCATGATTCCTATCACAATTTTCTTCAACAGATTCTTCTTGAATGGATTTTGTTGATTTTCCTTTGCCTAAAAACAATGCAGATGTAGAATCCATAATAAAATAAAATTTAATAGAAAATTTAACTTACCAGTTTTTTTATTTGATCTACCGGATTTTCTCTCGTTTTTTCTTGGCGATTGACTTATTTCATTATCCTGCGGTTTTATTTCTTGTACATTCTTTTTTAAATTCGTACATAATGAGTCTGCAACATGTTTTTGTTTTTCAAAAAATTGTGTACTTATTTCATCATCCTTGTCACAATTTTCTTCAGCAGACTCTTCTTGAACGGATTTTGTTGATTTTCCTTTGTCTAAAAGCAATGCAGATGTAAAATCCATAATAAAATAAAATTTAATAGAAAATTTAACTTACCAGTTTTTTTATTTGGTCTAGTTGATTTTCTCTCTCTTTTTCTTGTCGATTGCCTTATTTCATTATCCTGCGGTTTTATTTCTGCAACATGTTTTTGTTTTTCAAAAAATTGTGTACTTATTTCATCATCCCAATCACAATCTTCTGTTTCATAATTTTTTTCGTTCCTTTCACACTTCTTATCATTTGTTTTGGATTTAATTTGATTTTTCATTTGTGGTTTTTCAGAATTTTCCTTTTTTAAAAGTACACGTAGTGATTTTCTAGTTTTTAATTTGATTTTTTTAATATATTTTTTAGTTGCTTCATCATTTTCTTCAATTGATTCACCATTTTCTTCATTTCTTTCACAATGGACTTCATCTGCCTCAGAATCACTTTGGGTTTTCTTTCGTGATTTGTTTATTGGAGAGGTTTGTTTTGTATGTACAGTACATTTTCTATCATTTTTTAAAAGTACACGTAATGATTTTCTACTTTTCTTTTCTTTTTTTTTAACGGAATTTTTACTTTTTTCACGATTTTCTTCATTTGTTTCTGATTGGTTTTGGGGTTTCCTAGTCACATTCGACTTTTTTATCACTATTGAAGATAGTTTTTCATTGATAGAATCATTGGAATTATGTTCTGTAAATTCTTTATCATCTGTGTTTATCAAAGTTCTACTATTAGTAACATTTAAATTATCACTTTTTGTTTGTACATTACCATTCCTATTATTCTGTAAATTTAAACAAGACTGGCTGAGCCTAATGTCGGTCAACCATTTTTCAGGAGAAACAACCTTAGACTGGCTGAGCCTAATGTCGGTCAACCATTTTTCGATTTTATCAGATGGTCTTTCATTGGCAGACTTTTCTTTAATAATTGTATTATCTACTGTAGTAGAATGTCCAATAAAAGAAGAATCTTTCGTTCCTGAACTAACCACATCTGAAGAACTGTTTAAACTCTTGTTCGAGTTTGAAGAACTTCTATGCATTACTGACGATAAAGCTCTTGAATAGTGTTTTATACTCGGTTTTATACTTTTTCTAAGCAAGGGTTGTTTAAATGGCATCTTCTCATTTAAACAGTCATCATTTGGTAATATAATATTTGAACTTGATGCAGTGTATCTCCATGGTATTTTAATACTAGGGTTTTCCAAAATGTTATGATCATATCCACTAGAGAATCTATCCACAATGCTTCCTTCTTTTACACTTTCGTATATATTACAACAGTCTAACTCGTCTATATATTTTGTTGCATTACTTATATCTGTTGCTGCACCACTTTCAAAAGAATTTTTTCGTTGCTTAGCACCAATAATTGAAGAAGTTTCGTTAGGTCGAGTATTATTATTTTTGGACTCTTCATTTTCTATTGGAACTTTATAGCTGGCATTGGGTACTTTTTCAATGGAAGATTTATGGAACTGAGAATGACAAATTGATTCTGCCATTTTCGATTTAGTACTTTTATTGCATTTTTCTTTTGACTTGGATCTACTTCTCAAGACAGGGATCTTAGAAACTACCTCTACATTTTTTTTTGTTGAAAGTTCACAATCAGTCCCATCATTGATCTGTATTGATAGTGGCTTAGATGAAGTTGAAACCCTGTCAGCAATTATATTAGATTTTCTTAAAGTAACATTCTGATGAGAAAAGTTTGCTTTAGAATTATTGCGACTAATTATTTTGGACAATAAAGGTGTATTATTTCTTGAATTTTTGGCCGTTTCTTTTGCCATTTCATTTTTATCTAAATCGACGCTATTTCTAAATTTACTTGACGATTTTTTAACTTCTATTAAATTAGATTTATTTTTGTTGCTTTCAGATTCATGCAATCTGCAATTATCATCTTCAGAATTAATGGTACTAAGATGATTTTGAGATAAAAGTTGCTTAGAAAATCTTTGTGTGCCAGCACAGACGCGTTTTTTTAAAAATTTGTTTGGTTCCGAAGAATCTGCACGTTTAGAATACTGTTTAGTAGTACCATTTAAAGATGTTGTCATTTTTCCTAATAGTTTTAAAGATTTAAATTTATACATGTCGTCCTTATTTGTTTCAGATTTTCTTCTCAGCCTTCTGCAAATCAAGTCTATTTGGGACATGTTCGAATGTGACACGTTTTTATCATTATCTTCAAATAAACAGCTATTTGCCAGTGAATGAGATTTCTTCTTTTGAGTTTGTGACTTGTTAGAACATCTCATAGGCAAGATTTTTTTATCTTCATCATCAGATGAAGAACTACTTGCGGGTGAATCAGATTGTTCCTTTTGAGTTTGTGACTTGTTCGAACATCTCACAGGTGATATATCTTTATCATAAAATAAACAGCTATTTTCCGGTGAATCAGATCTCTTTTTTAGAGTTTGTGACTTGTTCTCAAATCTCATAGGAGAGGTGTTTTTATCTATATCGTTAAATAAACAGCCACCTACTGGTGCCTCAGATTTATTCTTTTGAGTTTTTAATCTGCTTGTATGTGTTGTATTTTTATCTTGTCTATTTTTGTTTGACTCATCACAAGAAGAATCAGAAATTAAATTAGTATTAGAGTATTTCTTTTGTTTAAGCTTTCTTTCAACTTCAGTGTCAATGAGATCTATTGGAGAATAAGATGAATCTGATGGAAAAAACAATTTTGCAAGGTTCTTATTAGATGGAGTGCTAGTGTACACATTTCTTATCAATGCTCTCTGTACTATGGATGGGCGAAATTTGATAGGTTGGATTTGATCATCCCAAATTTTTTTCTTTCTTCTTGGTATATCATCTTTATTCTACGAAAAAAAAAACACAATCTGTTGTTTAGAGTTAAGATATTGGGTGAAATTATTTATATTGTATCTTTGAAATATTGTGTTTCTGAAAAACTGAATCAAGTCATTTTTCCAAATGGATGTTAAATACTTTGAATATATATTGTTAGGAAGGAGCATGTCATGTCGGCGGCAATCTAATCAATCTGACGAAAGTAGCAGCCATATTCATTCCTAAAATAATTTGTTAATAATTTGAATGTTTAACTGTGAATTTAAACTTTTTTTGAGCATATTTACTATAGACAGTTTTAAATAGTGGTTAGTGTTATAGTGCTTTTTTTTATTAGTTGAATGGCTGTGGTACGAACCAATTAGCCAGCCTTTTTTTTTCTTAGTTCTTAGTACATCGTTAATTTTAAGTTTTCTGTGTTAAAAAAACGAACAAACAATATGACAAAGAAGTGAAGGAGCTACATTTCATGAGTAAGTATTTGATTCACTCAATTTTCAACCAAATTAAAAATTTGTATTTGTATTTGAAAGTTGTAAGGTGTATGAAACAACCATATATATTTTTTATTGAAAAAAATTATTTATTATTTTTTATTTAACTTTTAAAAATATTGTACTAAATAATTTTTTAATGCCTTTGATTGTTAATAAAAAAGTGAAAAATCAAAATTTTTTAATTTCTCCAACGGGGATCTCTTCTAAACCCTTTTAACAATAGCTCAAAAAAAATAAAAAAAATTCTAGATTTCTTGTTTTGAAATAATCAGCGTTTTTATGTTAACATTAAAATGGTGAAAATTAACTAATTAACAAAAGCATAATTAATAAAAAAATAGTGATAAAAATTTTTTGTTTACGGATTATTATTTATTCGTATGTCTACTTAGTACCCAATTTTTTTTATTCCTTAATATTAATATTTAATCAGTTAAAATAATTTTTTTAGTTCATGTGTTAGATTGGGGCGATGCGCGCGGCAGCCGAACCACGCGTTTTTACCGTTATTTTCGCCGCTTAATTAAAATTATAAGGGTTGTTGGTACAGTTCCGGGAGGTAGGACTTTTTTTTAGGAAATTTCCTGCTCTTTAAGGATCTTTTCTCAAATTTCGATTATCTCAAATAGTTTTTGAAATATTTCAAAAAAAAAAACCCTTTTTTTTATATTTTACTTTAGTGTTTATAACTTTTGCATTTTTTTTTCAGCCCCTCTTGGAATTTTGATAGAATGTTCTAGATGCCATTCCGAATCGAATGAGCCCAAAATCATAATTTTCGGTGCTGGAGGACAGGTTTCGAGGGAAATGGCACTTGTGAACCAGACTAGGGAGGGACATTAATAGATTTAGTTTTTTCTAATATAGAACTTAATGTTACAATATTTGATGAACCAAAAATAAGCAGTCATCGCAATATAACAGTATCACTAAAAAATATTCAACTAAATAAGCAGAATGATGAATACTGTTTAGAAGAAATATAGACTTTAAACAGATGGGAATAAAATTAAAGGAAATTAGTTGGAACTATAGTGAAAGAGATTTAGATAAGAGATAGTCAGTTTATCATGAAAATATTGTCAGTTTTAAATAAAGTTGCTCCTAAAAAACTGGTAAAAATACGTAAGCACTATAAAGAATTTTGGAACAAAACGGTAAGTCAAGTTACAAAGGAAAAAGATGAAAGTTTTAAAATATGTAGAAATAATAAAACTAGGGAGAATTGGGAAAGTTACAGACAAACGAAATATTGTATTTATAAAATTAAAATCGGTCAGGCTTCAGTACACTGCGAGAGAAGTTAACTTACAACACTAAAATTCATAAATATGAAACTAGATCCAGGCATAACTTTCATATACAAAACGTGAAGGAAAAGTAGTACATTTAATTCAATTTTTAATAAAGGCATGATTATGTATAATAACCTACCAAACGATATAAATGATAGTGCATCTCTATATATTTTTAAGTACATATTGAAAGCATATTTTCTGGCTACATAAGTGTATTATTTAGTATTTGTGTATGTAACTAAGTTTTATTTATTTTTAATTTGTAGCAACTTTTATGTAACACGCGTGGTGTGTTTATAATTTAATAAAATAAATGATTATTAATTTTTATCATTTTTAGTAATTTTTATTCATTTTTATATATTTTTGTTAATTTTAATTTTTGTTAATTTTTGTTAATTTTTTTGTTAATTTTTGTTAATTTTTGTTAATTTTTGTTAATTTTTGTTAATTTTTGTTAATTTTTGTTAATTTTTGTTAATTTTTGTTAATTTTTGTTAATTTTTGTTAATTTTTGTTAATTTTTGTTAATTTTTGTTAATTTTTGTTAATTTTTGTTAATTTTTGTTAATTTTTGTTAATTTTTGTTAATTTTTGTTAATTTTTGTTAATTTTTGTTCATTTTTAATAATTTTTAATTTTTATTAATTCTTTAAAAAATTTTTTAATTATTTTAACTAATTTTTATTTAGTTTTTTTTTTAGTTTTATTAATTTTATTAATTTTTACTAAATTTTATTAATTTTTATTAATTTTTATTAATTTTTATTAATTTTTATTAATTTTTATTAATTTTTATTAATTTTTATTAATTTTTATTAATTTTTATTAATTTTTATTAATTTTTATTAATTTTTATTAATTTTTATTAATTTTTATTAATTTTTATTAATTTTTATTAATTTTTATTAATTTTTATTAATTTTTATTAATTTTTATTAATTTTTATTAATTTTTATTAATTTTTATTAATTTTTATTAATTTTTATTAATTTTTATTAATTTTTATTAATTTTTATTAATTTTTATTAATTTTTATTAATTTTTATTAATTTTTATTAATTTTTATTAATTTTTATTAATTTTTATTAATTTTTATTAATTTTTATTAATTTTTATTAATTTTTATTAATTTTTATTAATTTTTATTAATTTTTATTAATTTTTATTAATTTTTATTCATTTTTATTAATTTTTATTAATTTTTATTAATTTTTATTAATTTTTATTAATTTTTATTAATTTTTATTAATTTTTATTAATTTTTATTAATTTTTATTAATTTTTATTAATTTTTATTAATTTTTATTAATTTTTATTAATTTTTATTAATTTTTATTAATTTTTATTAATTTTTATTAATTTTTATTAATTTTTATTAATTTTTATTAATTTTTATTAATTTTTATTAATTTTTATTAATTTTTATTAATTTTTATTAATTTTTATTAATTTTTATTAATTTTTATTAATTTTTATTAATTTTTATTAATTTTTATTAATTTTTATTAATTTTTATTAATTTTTATTAATTTTTATTAATTTTTATTAATTTTTATTAATTTTTATTAATTTTTATTAATTTTTATTAATTTTTATTAATTTTTATTAATTTTTATTCTTTGTTTACTTTCTAATTTGGGTAGAAAAAAGTTTATTTTTCGTTTCTTATATACTTGTTTTTTTATTTACTACACTGCAAATTATAATTATTTCCCCCTGTATTAAAATCTACTGTTCAGATCAACGGTTTTTTTTTACCCATACTGTTCCAAAATCTGGCAACGCTGCCTAGATCGAAAGAAATTTCCAACCTCGAGTGCGACACTCTGAGGACAGTGACACCGAGACAGATTCAGAAGTGTCGGCAGGAAGTGACGACACTTCTCGTGTCGCGCCGTGCGAAATGTGTTTCATATAATTGTATGTATTTTAGATGTGAAGCGACACTTCTCGGTCGCGTCGGCAGTCGTATGTCGCGTCGGCGGTCGTCTGTCGCGCCTACCGAAATGGTACCTGAAGAGTAAACACATATTGGTCGCCTATAGTGACATTAGTACGGGGATTATTGAAAAATCGCTAGAATGTCAGAAAGTGATGGTTCTTACAGTGAATTGGAGATAGAAGATGAGGGAGTATGGAAAAAAGTTAGACGTAAAAAAAAGCGTCAAAGCAATCCATTAAGCCATTCTAAGAAGATAAACAACTTAAGTTTTGAAGAAATCAACAATATTATTGGATCAAGCTCCCAGACTAATTCCGCAAATCCAACAACTATAAAAAGTAGCACAATAAAAACACAACACAAAAACTTTTCATCAAGAATGAAAGAAATAATGAACAACAAAAACTACAAACATATATTCAACATCAATCCAACTACAGGGTGGAGCAGAATCAATCTATGCAATACATGGGAAGAAATTTTTCCAAATGCAGAGGATGACATTATAAAAACAAATAGCGGTATTATTTTAAAATCGAATGAAGACAGGAAAAAAATTACAGACACACTTAACAATTTAACCCTTTTCAAAAAAAAAAAAAAAACATTTTCGATATTATCAGCTATAACTTGACTTGGTAAAAGTCAAATCTACTTATTGAGGTAATTATTACGTAAAATTCACTAGAAAAATATACCTATACTTTAAATTTACCAAATGGTTCTAATTTAGGTATAAATTTACGTAAATTATACCAAGAAATCTACCTCGTACACATATCTGCCTAAAAGTAACTTTAACCAAATCAGAAAGGGAAAACTACTAACAAAAATAACCAAAAATTACCTCATAGGTAAATTTCCTTTAAAGTACAATTAGGTATCATAATTAGGTATAGTCCATCCAAACAATAAGTCAGCTATAAAGGAATACCGCAAACGCAAAAAAAGTGCGGCACCTTTTTGAATAATTCGAAAAAAAAATTGGTATAGGGAACGGGTTGCTTGTCGGAAGTCAGCTAAACTAACTCTTTGATAGACCGCCCATAGACGGAGATATATGTTTTTACTTAATAATTTAATTATATGTAGGTATTATAGGTATATGTTTCTTTCGATTTGAAGATTTAAAATAGTAATTTTTTATATACATATACATACCTAATTAGAATAAAATAAGTAGGATTTATAACTGATGTTTTCCTTCAACGATTTCAGTGTTTTTGATAAAATTTTGCATTTTTTCTCCAAGAAGCGTGAATAGCTTTGTCGGTATACTGCCTCTGTAAGTATATTGTTTTTGGCGGTGTATCGCCTTTGACGGCTATTGCCTTTGTCGGCTATTGCCTTCGTCGGCATATTGTCTTTGTCGGCATATTGTCTTTGTCGGCATATTGTCTTTGTCTATTTAAAGAGCCGAACCAATGCCGAAAAGGAAAATGAAACGTATTTGAATAAAAATAATTATTTTTACTTTCAGTGGAGTTTTGTTCATCTTAGTGACCTGTTGAGTTTTGTACGGATAACAGCTCCTGCATCGTACTTTTTAAAATTTTATAGAATATTAGTTTCTGTTTTATTAGTGTTTAGTTTTGTTTTATCAATAATCAGTTTGTGTTTTGGAGGTTATATAGTAATTTTAATAAACGAATAATAATTTTTGTGTATGTGTTATTAACTATGTGGAGACCGTGGGATAGTATTCCGAGCACCAGTACATCAAACAGTGATGGAGAAACTAATGCAGTGCCTACGCAAATAAAAAATAAACTCTTTTTAAATGAACAGTCCCAGCAAATTTGTGGAACTTTAAATTTGATATTATCTTTTATAACCACCTTCATTAGATGGAGGCAGGCGAGGTTCAAGATTGAACAATATCCAACCTCGAATGAGGGAGGCAGTACGTGCCAATTTATATAATTTTTACAACAATTTTTACAATTTAAAATTTTAATTCAACATATTTAATTTTTTCTGTGGACACATAGTGATTGTACCTACCTACCTACTCACTTACAAAAAATTTTTTGCCTGATGATGACCTTTTAGGTCGAAAGCGCTTGCAACCCAACCTAATAAATTTATGTGGTTGACAGACTTTGAGCCTTTTACTTCCCTTTAATCTACTTCGGACCACTTTGAGATATGGATAATATTTGGAATCTATTTGGATACTTTATTTACTCTACTTTAACATAATATTAGGTCGATATTGTAGAAAAATTATACCTTATTTTTCTACTTGATTTTAACCAAATAGTCGATTACTCATTTAGTTGACCTAAAAGTCATCCTGAATAAATAAATATTAACTTTATTGTAGCAATTACCTGAAAAATCTACTACAAAGTAATTTCGACTATAAACCACCAATTTAAAAACTGCCATACCTAACCTATTTGTAAAATTTATATTATTTAGGTTATTTTAACAATTAGGTTGTTCACTTATTGTCTTCGTCATTATTCTTAAGAATTTCAGCCATTTTAAAAAACCGTTGCAATGGTAAACTTAATTCTCTTGCCGTATAGATAGAGCTATAAATAAATGCAAAAAATAATAAATAATAGGTACGTTCGATTTTTTTCGTAAAGTCAAACGTTTTAAATCTCAAGTGCAGTATAACGTAAAAAATAAACAAATTACTCCAGTATCCAGTAAATTGATTTGTCAACACACGTTAAATAAAAATTTACACTTAACATGGCTGAAATTTACTAATAGGTAGCATTTCCAAAAATAGGGTGACCTAAATATGTTACATTTACTTACAGGTAAATTTTTGATAAAACTTACAAGTTATTAATTCTTTAAATAGGTAAAATTGGGCAGAAGGACTTCGGTCGATAGCCTATTGGACTGAATTTTCAGTTCAATAAATGACAATTATTAATATTATTAATGTTTAAATAAATCGAATATTCTCTTTTCTACACTCTCTAATGACAGTACGTCACTGGAAACTAGAAACACTTGTCGCCATAAATATTCTGCTAGATCAGTGTCAAATTTAGGAACCATCGCGAATCTAAGATGTTTAGCATTGCTCCTTCCTGAATATATATATACAAGGGTGAGTCGGGAGGAGCGCACCAAACTCTAGGAGTATATTATACATGTGAAAATAATGTAAAAAAACTCATATGTTCTTATCCGATTTTCATTTGTTTTCAAGTTATGGCGTAATTAAAAATGTTCATCTAGCTTTCCACTTCTGAATTTTAACATTATTAAAGTATGCCATATGTTCAAGGCTCAAAGGCATTTGATAATTCTGACGTTTTGATGAACTGTCAGTGTACAGTAACTGAACGTTTAATTTCGAATTTATGTGATTGTTAGTGTTGCAAAATGACAGATACTTATTCAAATTTAGAATAAGATAATTTTTATGTGTAAATTTGTTTATTTGTTAATATGCTATAACTTGAAAACAAATGAAAATCGGAAAAGAACATATGAGTTTTTTTACATTATTGTCACGTGTATAATATACTCCTAGAGTTTGGTGCGCTCCTCCTGACTCACCCTGTATATTTTAAGGTTAAAAATTGTTACAAATTAAAAAAAAGCAATACATCTTTCAGATATTAATGTTTTTACGTTATCAATAGGTTCTTTCATTCGCTGTTGGTGCAGTGTCCACCAGTGTAAATTACACCAGTTACACTACCTTATTTACCCCAGCTTACTTCCCTCCTTATTCCTTATACACATGTCGAGTGTAAGTCACTCTGCTAAATAGCTGATGGAGGAAATATCCACCAGTGGACCCCACAACGCCGAACGAAAGGTTAGTGGATTTTACACCGGGCCAAACGAAAAGTATGATGTTCATTGGTGTAGTCCATTCCTACACCAGTGGGACGAACGAAAGAACCTAATAATATGTAGTAAATTCAAAAACAATGCTTACTATTAAATTCTTGAGTTGATTTGGCAGCTCATCGTTTTCCAATCCTGATGAAGAGTCACTGCTAGATGCAAGGGGTGAAGTGATTTTACTAGAAACAAAAATAAGTCCATATTAAATAAAAAACTATAAGTAATGTTTTTCTATACAGGGTGTAATAAATTTTAGCTGGATGTACTGGAATCTCGGTAACTGTAAGAGTTATAAGGTTGGTTAAATAAGAGAAGTTTTAAATAAACAGAATCTTAGTTTAGATCCACCTTCAAAATTTTTAAATGTTCTGTAACCTACCGCATCCAGGTACCGTAATAATTTATTAATTCCATTAATAAATATAATATTGCATTCTTTTTAAATTCAAAATCTTTCATTTAACGAAAATCTCCCAGAAAATTAAATCTTATTTATGACACCTAATAAATAATATATATAACCACGTGCGTTAAAGATCCAAATTTCGTGCACTTGGCTGGGAACCAGCTCAAGAAAACATTTCTTTTCACGAAGTAATTATCATTGAAACACTTGACTCGCTTATCTTTCTAGTTTCGATGTTAAGACCGATTTCGACAATATCTCGATACACAAAGCTCTCAAGGCACATACTAAATAAGCCACATTCGTATTTTCGCTGGGAACTAAAGACATAGAGTCGTTACAAAAAGCCATTAAACTTAGTATAAGAAGTCTGACCCAAAGGAGCTCAGATTCATTCATTTTTAATTATTTGATGTGCATGCATTCATTTTTTATTATTTGCAAGCATTATGTGCAAGCATTCATTTATTATTTGTATCCAGTTATATTTCAAGTTCAGTAGTCAGTACCTTTCCTAAAACGCTCTTCCTAAACGACGTCTATTCTACAATACCTCCTATCCCAAAAGGAGTCAACATCTCGACGCCCAACGTCCTGCCGTCCTACTCCCTACGTCTCGAATGCTGTCACATTCCGCACCATCTTAATATTTCCTACCGTACATTCATTCCGACGCCTAACGTCCCATCGATCTACTTCTCGACGCTTGACGCCCCTAAATATTTCCTTCATAATATCCTTGTCAACACCCTTCGTCACGTTCCGCACCACCTAAATAATTCTACCGTATATCTGTCCCAATGCAGTACCGCATTAAATACCTTCCTTTCCACTACGACGCGAGGCGACGCTCAATGCTGCGACGTACCTAAATCGACGCCGTCACAACGCTAGATGAAATTAGTACATAATCTAATGTCTTTATTTTCAATGGTGAGTCAAAAGATTTATGTAACTTTCTTTGAGATACCACCGGGGTTTCGTTTAAGCCAGAGCTTGACATTTGCTACAAATTATTATCAATTTAACCAATAAACCACATGGCCTTCAGATCATACACACCGAAAGACAGTTAGGATAGACATCTGTTTCGATGGGTGAATTTTTAAGTATTTCAATAGAAATTATAAAAATCAATATTAAGAAATATACAGGGTTGTATTAAATAATTTCAATAGAAATTATAAAAATCAATATTAAGAAATATACAGGGTTGTATTAAATAATTTCAATAGAAATTATAAAAATCAATATTAAGAAATATACAGTGTTGTATTAAATAATTTCAATAGAAATTATAATAATCAATATTAAGAATATATACAGGGTTGTATTAAGTTAATTAATAGAAATTATAAAAATCAATATTTTAGAAATATACAGGGATGTGCTATCTTGGATAAATTGTACAAACCAAGATGGTAAAGTTTAATAGCAAGTTAACCAACTGGTGAATACACTGTTCGTTAGCTCAAGGGGGGACACCTATATGCTAAGCAACCCGTTCTACTAGGTTTGAAACAACAACATAGTAAAGTAATCAACTGGCGAATTGGCGCTGTTTGTTACTTCCGTTGGTCATCACCTCTATACTCAACGAAATATTTACCTAAGAGGGTGCAACCTGTGTATATTTAGAATAGAATCAAATCAACATAAACACAATAGTTAACCAACTAGCGAATTGGCGCTGTTCGTTAACTCCGTTGGTCATCAACTTAAATAAGAATATAAACAACAACACAATAGTTAACCAACTAGCGAATTGGCGCTGTTCGTTAACTCCGTTGGTCATCAACCTAAATAAATTTGGATAGTGTAGATAGCAAGTTGGTGTCACATTAACTCTCTTAAAAATGGGAGTGCCCCTGGTTATGACAACATAATATCTTAACTAATCAAAATTATACATACATCGTTTTGCCATTATCTCACATACGGGTCTATTCTGAAACAATTCCTTTATATTTTAACGGCCGTTAAAATATTGGCGGCCTTTAAAAATATTTTCATATTCACTAACTTACTTCTGTCATTATTTAAACGGATTCCTTTAAAATAGTCCTAAAATAAAAATCATTTTTAACAGTTTTGAATTGAAAATTGAGGATTTGTATGGTTATGTTTTCAAACTAGTTCAAATAAAACTTAAATGCGATGTTATCAAGTGTTCTCCTGCCATTTTTAAGGGAATCCGTTAAAATAAATAATTTTTAACAGGCCTCTAAAATTTGTGTATTCAAAATACCATTTTTGGTTTATAAAATTAACGGGCCGCTAAAAGTTTAATTTTTAAAGCCCTTTAAATTTTAACGAATGTGTTACAGAATAGACCCCATAATCAACCTAATTTTTATAACAGGCCAAATACCTCCAGAATTCAAAAAAGTATCATTACTCCCATTTTTAAATCTGGAGACAAACAAAATATATCTAACTACAGACCAATTAGTGTTATAACCAACTTTACTAAAATTTTTGAGAAATGTCTTAAATCACAATTAATTAATTTTCTAAATCAAAACAATATTATTAACTCAAACCAATTCGAATTCTTAGAACGTAAAAGTACGGAAAATCCAATGTATGAGGTTACTAATGAAATTATAAAAACAAAATTGATACTGGACAAAAATGTCTTGGAATATTTTTAGATTTAGCAAAAGCGTTTGACATCACAACAAGCTTTTAACAGTTCTTGAATGCTATGGAGTGAGAAGCACTGTGCTAGATGTTTTTGCTAACTACCCGTGAGCAAACCGTTAAAATAAACAATTGTGTGAGTGAAAGCATGACAATTAAAGCTGGTGTCCCACAAGGTACAGTGTTAGGTCCCATTTTGTTTATTCTATACATTAATTCATTACTCTCTTTGGACATAAATGCTAAAATAATATCTTATGCAGATGAAACTGTCATATTGTTCAGAGGTGATACTTGGGCCGATATAGAAAGTATTGTTAAACTAGACATGTCTACAGTTAAGAAATGGTTAGAGAAATATCAGTTATCTTTAAATGCTACCAAAACCAAATATATCGCTTTTTCAAAAACTAATGTAAATCGTCCACTCTTTAATTCAATAAAAATCGAAAATATTAATGAAAGTATCTTGGAAACTAATTACATAAAGTACCTAGGCATAATGATTGATCAAAACCTGAAATGGGAAGAACATATTAACTACTTAACAAAAAGAGAAAATTAATATGTATATAAATTTTATCAACTTCGTGATATTCTTAATAAGAATCTTTTAATTTTAATATACAAATCTCTTGTTGAGTCACTACTAAGATACGGCATCTAAGTATGGGGTGGTCTTTATTCAAATAACTTAAATAATTGAAGTATTATACAAAATTATGTATTAAAAGTGATCCTAAAGAAAGACAGAACATACTCAACTAGATGTCTATATAGTTCAGAAATTTTTAATGTCAGGTCACTGTATTTTCATTCGCCATGCTTATTTACATGAAAAAAAAAAGAAACAGCTAAACATGTTGTGCATGAAGTTACGTCTAGAAGTGTTTTAAATAAGTTATTATGGACTCCACAAATTAACTTTAATTGCAGTAAACGATTTGCTACGTTTTTAGGACCCAAATGTTTGAATCTGTTGAGTAACCACATAAAAAATATCAAAAATTATAAAAGTTTCTCAAAATTAAGTAAAACCTTCATACATGAAAACTACCTAGTTTTCATGAACCTATTTACAAATATTTAATAGGAGCAAATTTTCATCCTCTTTGTTTTTATATTTTCATGTATTAATTTACTGAATAATATTTATTGTATTGTATAATGCACAAAACAAGTGTTCACTCACTTAATGTGCATTACCTATATCTTACGAAATTCACATACCATCGTTTCAATGTTCAATCTTTTTTGTATTTGTATGTACTGCTACTAAACTGTAAGCTTCTTCTTAATTTGTTTCATTAAATTTTTTTTTTTTTTTATAGGACTACTATTTTGATTAATTTGTACAAAATCTATAGTTAAGAACTAGTTTAATTTTATACTTTTTATTTACAAACATTTAGAATATTATAAATAATATGGATTAATTAATTAATATGAAATAATTAAGTATGTACTAACATATAATAATGTAATAATATTGCATTTGTACTAACTACTTAAATAAATAAATAAATAAATAAAAATATTATGATTTATTTGTGTATCACCATGTATCTTTAAATATTTTAAACTGTCTTTTCATAGACATCTGACCAAAACTTCCATTAAACATATATTACCCATAAAATCAATAGAGCTTTTCAGTTTGAAGAAAATATAATTAAAATCAGCAATTCTCCTGTTTAATGCCATGCTCGCCACCATGTACCTCGAAAACTGGTCATAGTATCGGTTTTAAAATTTATACATCTTACAACAGTGTTAAAATTATTATGTACTGAAAAAATAGTTACATTTCACTGTGGAAATACCTTTCAATAAATAAATCAACTTGTATATTTTGAAGCTTAAAGGTACACATATTTTAGTGTTATTACCTTTCCCAAAAATCAATTCATAAGTACAAGCAGGGTTTTAAATTAATCATTAAAAAAATTATTTTACGTTGTGGTTCTCTCTATAAAACACTCTGTATAAGAAATGTATACTCTGCTATATTTTATCGCCAAAATACCATATTGAGTAGTACTTTTTGAAAATATGTTTCCCTGACGCAACAGTAGAATTATTGAGATTTTGCAAAATCTACCGTCATACATTTGTGAGTCTCCTTGTAAT